GGCCCCCCCCCCCCCCCCATTTTGCCCAGAACGCACCGCCAGCACTGCGCCTTCGCTCAGCACCAGGTAGCCGAGCTGATCAGGAATTCGCTCCAGCCCGTGGGTCAGTGCAGAAGTCTAGTGGGTAAAGATGCAATCAGAAACATTGCTAGGAGGATGGCCTTAATTCTCTTCACTTGCAACCCAAGTCTCTCATGACCTGCCTGAGACGTTCTTTTTCCCAAGCCAGGGCCATTCCAGGCCCTTTTCCCATTCCCTTTACATGGCCTTCAACAAGGATTTGTTTTTTTTAAAGAATGGTGTTTTCTTGCCCTGGCTGGTTTGGCTCAATGGATAGAGCGTCAAGCCTGCAGACTGAAGGGTCCCAGGTTTGATTTCGGGCAAGGGCACATGCCTGAACCAATGGTTCTCTCTCATCCTGGATGTTTCTCTTCCTTCCGCGCTGAAATCAATCTATATCTATATAAAAGAATGGCATTTTTCTTTTTAAAAATATATTTTTATTGATTTCAGAGAAGGGAGAGGGAGCGATAGAAACATCCATGATGAGAATCGATTGGCTGCCTCCTGCACGCCCCCTACTGGGGCTCCGACCCGCAACCCGCAACCCGGGCATGTGCCCTCGACCCCAACCGAACCTAGGACCCCAGTCCGCCGGCCTACACTCTATCCACTGAGCCAGACCAGGTAGGGCAACACTGATCTTGAACCTCGATGTGTCCTCACCCCTGCTCTTGGGCTCCCTTGTTTCACATCCCACACCGTTCCCACCCGCGACGCGTCCGCAGCCCCACTGGCCTCTCTTGCCCCCTTTCCAGTTCTCCATGTGGCCAGCTCCTCCTCCGCAGACCACAACCTCCCACAGATCCCTCCTCAGCCCTCAACGATCCCTCTCCGTCCAGGGGCAAATAGGAGGTGACGACAGACTGCCGGCCAAGGAAGGGGCAACTAAAGAGATTGGGGGACAGGGACAAGGAGCCCCCAGCGCGTCCTCCGGCGCATGCGCCCTCACTCACCATCGCTGCCTTAGGTGATGGGGGGCGCTCCCTACCAGATAGGAAGCTTCCGGCTCCAGACCCAGGTCACGTGCTTCCACCAGGGCGTCTCCTCCCCCTGCCTTGCGTGGCGCCTGTCGGACTTCAGCCCCACCCCCAGAATGCGGATTGGAGCTTGGCTACGTCATCGGGCTTTCCCAGACGCACGCGGATTGGTCGCAGAGCCCCTTTAACACCCATGTCCCCGCCCCTCTGATCCTGAGCGCGAGTAGGAGGGTGAAGTGTTGGCGAAGGAGTGGACCTGGAGGGGCGGGGCCGGAGGGAGGAGAATGGGACCCGGTGTGCTGAGCGTTAGAGATATTTTGCCTGCGCTAGACTGTCCACGAGGGTGACCACAGCAAGTGAAAGGACGTGACATGCATGTGAAAAGCTATTCAACTGCGACTCTTACCCTTACTCCAGACAGCTCTCTGTTTAATACAAGGATTTGTTCCCAAAACTGTTTCTTCCTGCGATTCTGTGAGGAGCCCTGTGATGGTGAATTGAATCCCCCGCTGGGCAACACAGCTTCAATACTGAATACTTTCTGCCAGAAAAAATTAGAAACAGTACTTTGGAGTGTTTTTAAATATATATATATATTATTTATTTCAGAGAGGAAGGAAGGAGAGAGAAACATCAATGGTGAAAGATAGTCATTGATCAGCTACTTCCTGTACAGCCCACACTGGGGATAGAGCTGGTAGCCCAGGCATGTGCCCTGACCGGGAATAGAACCGTGGTCTGGTTCACAGGTCGATGCTCAACCACTGAGGCATGCTGGCCAGGTTGGAGTCCTTTTTTTTTTTTTTTTTTTTTAATCCTCACCCGAAGATATTTTCCATTCATTTTTAGAGAGAGTGGAAGAGAGAGGGAAAGACAGAGAGAAATATTGATGTGACACATGGATTGGTTGCCTACTGCAGGAGCCCCGACCAGGGCCCCAGGCCAGGGATGAAGCCTGTAACCCAGGTACCTGCCCTTGACCGGAATTGAACCCCAGACCTTTCCTTCTGCAGGCTGAGCCAAACAGGCTAGGGCTGGACCACTTTTTAAATATATGGGTGTCACGTAGGAATGTTGTGTTTTAATTTAAATAGTTTCTAGACCTGTTGCAATACTAATGTGACTGAGGCAGTGTTGGTAGGTAAAGTGAAGGATGATGCTAGAAATAAAACAAGTACTTGTTGGGAGAGGTTGTGGAGAA